TGTTAAAGTCTCTAGTTGAAAAAGTAGACAACATGCAAGAAGAGTGGGTAATAATGGCAGAGAGATGGAAACCTCCAAAAGGAAATGATAAAATACTGGGGAGTTCCTGTAAGACTCTGGGCACACAGGATCAGAGAAAAAAGGATGCTCTATGTGGACAGCTCATTCCCAAGAAGCAGGGGAGAGGAAGGTACTGGACCACTGATGTGGGGCTCCTTGGGCAGCAGTAGATAGTGAGAGGCCTGGAGTGCTACCTAGTGGCTCCTTCTCCACATAGCAGAACACATCAGAGTGAAGAAGTTTCTCCTAACATCGTGATTTTGAAAGGTATGATTGGCTATAGCGCGAAGGGTATTTTAAAAGGCAGGAAGATGAGTTAGGAAACTCTTGCCACTGTAACAAAGATCACAACTTTGGCATCTTAAATCAAATTATTTTATCCCTGGTGCTATGGACTGAACTGTGTGCCACCTCCTCAACATCCCTGAAATTCATATGTTGAAGTCCTAACTTCCAATGTGACTATATTTGAAGATAGGGTCTTTAGGAGGTCATTAAGATTAAGTAAGGTTTTAAGGGTGGGGCCCTAATTCAATAGGATTGGTGGCATCATAATAAGAAGAGACCTCCTCCATCCCCACCCCTGCATGCACCTGGCCCTGGAAAGGCCATACTAGGATATAGTGAGAAAGTGGTGATCTGCAAGCCAAGAAGAGAGTTGTCACCAAAACCCAACCATCCTGGCCCTCTGATCCTGGACCTTCCTGTATCCAGAACCATGAGAAAATTAATTTCTGTTATTGAAGGCACCCAGCTTATGGTAGTCTGCCATGGCAGCCAGAGCAGACTAATACATCTGGTAATTATATTTCATGGTACACCTAGGTTGTGTGTAGATGAAGACGATACCAGTCGAAAAACAGAGAGCCTAAAAATACAGGAAAGAGCAGGTAACTGATGAAGAAAAGTCTTAGATTGGCAAGGCCCTTTGGAAATTAGATGAAATCTAGAGACTCTCACCTAGAAACTGACAAAAAGACCAAATTCCGCATTAATTTCAAAAGATCCATGGATCACGTGGAGTGCCTCTTGGACTCCACATGATCCCCTGACACTCATTTACAGAACCTCTGTCCTAGGGGAGTTCTAGGGTGGGCTGAGACCAAGAGCTTTGAAGGGAGCTGCTGTTGCTGGGCGGGGTGGGGGTGGGGGTGTGATAACAGGAAACCAGGAGGATGGAGACATTTGGAGGAGGAGGAAGGGCAGTTGCTGGACCTCACATGTTAGGAGTCAGGGTCTCCATGGAGTGTGAGGTGCTGTGGAATGAAAAGGATGGAAAAGGTTAAGATCGAACTCACATTAGGGAAAAGGATGAGGACATAAGTAGGAATGAGGAAAGGAAATCCTGTGTCTTAAGCACAGCCAGCTGGGATCAGATTATATACGATTGCTGTAGAGTCCATCAGCCTGGTGTATAATTTTCACCAGCTTTATCTGGAGGATTTTAGCAACAGCAGCAGTAATGGCAGAAAAAAAATGGATTTGGTGTTTACTGAAAATTGAGGATTGGCCGGGAAAGTACAGGGATAGATTTGCTATAAACTAGGAATTATTTAAAATGAAGGCCTACCTGCCAAATGTTAGATAAGGAAGGAAACAAAGAAAGAAAAAAGGAAGGAGAGAGAGAGAGAGAGGGCACTCCGTGAGTGATTGGGAGGGAAAGGAGAGGGGGCGGGGGAGGGAGAAAGGAAGGAAAGATGGAAGGAAGAAAAATAAAGAAAGTCCTTTTAGCCTTTGGAAGGATTAGAACATTAGGTAACCTTGGCCTGCCCTGGGGCATTGAATTTCTTATTCTGAATGTATGAAATCTGACACCCTGTTAGTAGGAACTTAGAAAAGGATCTCTTTTCTTTGTCCACGGCATGTAACTAAGCCCTGTAGGTAGGAAGGTTCTGGAGGTGCTCTACTCTGTTCCCAGTTTCCCCAACTGGGAGGGACCTCTAAGGCTTCCCTGGCTCTAATGGTGGGCTGGGAAGACTGGGCTGGTGTGAAGCCACCTCCACCCACAGAGCTTTTCTTTTCAGGTTTGCTGGTAGGGTTAGACAGGTGTATTCTGCTACCTGCAGTCCTTAGTGAGTCTTGGAAGATGTTATGTTTCCATGTTGCCTGCAAGGATGCTGCAGGAATAACTACCGGTGCCCTTCTCTGCAAAGGGTACTTGAAAAACCTTCAGGTGGTTACCGATAAGCCAAAGGATAATCAAACAAAATGTACTGTATGGCAAAGATTTTTTCTCCCTTTTGAACAATTATACTAGTGACATAAAATGAAAAGTACCCCAAGTCCTATCACCCAGAGATAACCATGTCAGCATCTTGTCGTATATTAGACCTGACACTTCCATATGCAGATGTAGAAATGTATGTTTTATGAAAATGGAGTCGTATTATACACATTGTTTTTCAATCTTCTCTCCCTTCTGCAATTTATCAGTTTAGTGTGAACATTTCAGGTCAGTTTACAGTCAGCCCTTTGTATCTGTGTCTACGGATTCAACCAACTGGGGACTGAAAAATACTTTAAAACATTTTTTTTAGAAAATTCCAAAAAGCAAAACTTGAATTTGCCATGTGCCAGCTACTATTTACATAGCATTTACATTGTATAGTTATTATAAGTAATCTAGAGATGATTTAAAGTATACAGGAGAGCGTGTGTACGTTATATGCAAATACTACTCTATATTATATAAAGGACTTGAACATTATCGGATTTTGATATCTCCAGGCAGGTTTGGGAACCAATCCCCCCACCGATACTGAGGGATGACTGTATATCTACACAGCATTCTTAAAGGCTGCATGGCATTGCACCATTCTTCAATTGTTGAGTCTTTTAACTGCAGCGTATCGGATATCCATTGACAAAATAATGCTATGTAGTGAGAAAACCACAAAATCTCAGTGGCATACAAAAATAAACATTTGTTTAGTTTACAAGTTTGCAGGGGTTCAGCTGATCTGGGCCAGCTTGGCTGCTCTCTGCTGGGCTCGCTTCCGTCCCTGCAGTCAGCTGTGGTTGGCTGAGCCCATTCTGACTTGCTCATATGTCTGGGACTGACTGGTTATCAGCTCCTCTAGGATGGTCCCAACTGGGAAAACTAGGGCAATTCCACTAAGTGCCAAGTGAGTTACCCTCCAGGAAGCTGGAGAATTCTGGAAGAGGCCCCAGTTGGGGGCAGCGGTCCATTTCGAGTTCAGATTAGACATGCTAAATTGGATAACTTTGGGATATTCAAGGGGAGGTTTTGAGAAGTTGGGGTATGCCGTTCAGAGGACAAGTTTGGGCTGGAGTTATTAATATTTTAGTCTTATGCATTTTAGGTATTAATTGAAATTATAGATCTGAATGAAATGTCTTTGGGAGAGAAGAGATCTAGGAGAGAGGAGACTTAGAGCCAGGCCTGGAGGACTGGGGCAGAGGAAGAGGAGGCCTGTGTATACCACCGAGACACTCTTGTCAGAGAGGTAGAAAGAGAACAGAAAAATGATGTGTTATGGGAGCAAAAAAGTGGATAGTTGACAAGGCTCTGATAATTGTTGAAAAGTCAAAGAAGTATGACAGTTAGTCTCCAAAAGGGCGGTTGGAACCTAGAGGAGGAGGGAATTCTCATTGGGCAGCCTCTAAATCTTCAGAGATAAGGAGCAAGGTCAAATGCTACAAGATGATGGGATTGGTAATCAGGAAATTGTAGTTGGAAGCGAACTAGTAGTTGGAAGAGATTTGACAAAGTTATTCAGGTGGGTGGGGAGTGAATTTAGTGGGGGAACAGAGTGGAATTGCAAGGAAGTTTAGAATAAAACAATAGACCAGAGACCTTTAGCTGGATAAGGAGAACAATGGAAGGAAAATTCTAATGGGCTGGGAGGAAAGAGAAGTCTTGCTAATCTGGCTGTACTGGTGGTGTTGAAGAATGAACCTACCTCCAAGGATGTGGTCTCAGGAAGTGCAGAATAGGGAGCCTGCACCTGCATGTTTAAAGAGTCCAGGTGATTCTGATGCAGGTGGTTCTAGGGCCACCGTTTGAGAAACGCTGCCCTAGGGGCTGGAAAGGGAGCGAAGCTGGCTTGGGGCAGGAAGCCTGTCATGTTCCAATGGGGAAGCCTGCTGGATGGGAGTATTTTTGTTGTTCCAGGGGGCTCTGTAGCTTCCTTGGCCTGAGGGATTACAATTTGACGGCCCAGTTTGTCCAGTAGGACACCCTTCCCAGAGTCCTGGGAGGGGCTCAAACCCAAAGGTGGGTGGCCTTCGAAGTAACCCTGTCTGTGCTTGCCCCAGGGGCTTCTCATCCAGGGACTGTCAAGACTGGTGGTTTTGTTGTTTGTTTGTTTTTGCAACTTTTGATTCCAGAAATAAAAATGGGCTTTCAAAATCAACCGACCAACCAATCAACACTGTTGAAGTTGGCACATTTGGTCTAATTGTTTTCCTTTTCATTTAGACTTATTTCCTACCAAGTGTGAGGTAGCGTTTTCAAGTAAATCTTTGGTAATTCCTAGGCATCAAGCAATTGCCTTCATTTCCCAATGGTACATACTAAAGTGGGCTCATTTAGAGAGAGAACAGGAATAGCAGTTTTTATAGCTTAAGGCCTTGAAAGAAAATTGCTTTTTTTCCTGACAATCATAATCCACTCATGCTTTCAAAATGCATTTCCAAATCAAAAGGACTCTGAGAGTCTGGAATGTGCTAGAAGGATGTAATAGTCTGGAATGTGCTAGAAGGATGTAATAAGACATATTTTATTAGCTGGTTTATCTATAATCTAGATAACCTTACCTTTTGTTTCTCTTCTCTCGAAACTTCCTCAGCCGCAGACTCTATGTGTTGCCTGGGTGTCAAAGAATTAAGCCTGTCTTGAATGAACAGAACAGGGGTACAGAGAGAAGTGCTTTCTTTTTTCCTGGTCTCCACTGTGACTCTCTGATTTGAATTTGCAGTGGCAGAACGAAGGAAAGGTGAATGCTCCCAGAGGGGAGCGTGGCATGAATAAAGGCCTGGAGGCCGGCACATCACGGGGCTGCTCTCTGGACAGCCGGATTGAAGCAGAGTGGAAACGGGGCTGGCTTGGTATGGGGAGCTGGATTAAGGAAGCTGAGCGGGGTGGGGGGTGGGGCAGTTTGAATGATGCCTGGGGAAATCCTGAGCCATTTAAATGAGCCATTTAAATCTGACAGATAAATTGGTGTTTTAAGATTTACCAGGCAGTGATGTGCAGGATGAGGTAGAGTGGGTGGGGACAGAGTGTGTGTGCATGGGGGGTGGGAGGGGTGATGGAAGAGAGGGGAGAATGAAGCTAGGAGATGAAAGTTTCTGCTTTGAGTCAACACTTAACTGAGCATCTACTGTGTACCTTGTCTGGTGCCAGACATCACCTTCAAGTGTGCTCTCTCTCTCTCGGTTCATAGAGCTAGCATCTGCCCTTTTGTCCAGGTAGGAACCCGGACAAATGGTGTCCTTGACACCTTGCTTGTCTTCTCCCCAGGCTGTCAAGTTGCCCCATCAGCTCCACGCCTGTCACATCCTCCTCTTCTCCCTCATCCCCACTCCCTCTACCCCACTTCAGCCACTGCCATCTCTCCCTGATTAATGGCCTCCCTGTCTCCAGCCTCCCCTCTGACTCCTTCTCTAGCTGGCTGCTGCTGGCAGTGAGGACGGCCTTCCTGAAGCACATTGAATCAGGCCATGTCCCCCAGCAGAAACCCTGCAGTGGGCTCCCCCGTTGCGTTCAAGGGAAAAGTCCAAACTCCTCAGTAGTGCCTGGAGGCCCTTGGTATGTTGGTCTTGCTTAGTTCACCCTCCTTCCCAGGGCTCGTGCCTCTCCCACCTTGAGGCTCGGGGTATGGCCAAGCAAAAATGCTGTCAGTAATCCTAAGAGGTCATGTTCTCTCTTCTCCCTTGTGGTGATAATATCCTCCATTCTACCCCTCCCCTCTGACTCATGCTTCAGAATACATTTAGTGATCCCTTCCTTCCAGCTCTTTCTGGCCCACAGGTACCTCCTGGGTGCTTTCAAAGAACTGTTTCTATTGCTGTCCTAGAGCATATCATAACACATTGTCACTGGCAGTTCTCTCCTTGGCATATGAGCTTCAAGAGGCATCTTTCAGGGGCTGCATCTTCCTCTTCATCCAGCACCCTCCTGACACATAAAAGGTGCTTAGTAAGTATTCAACAAATGGGAGTGGATGAATTTACGAGAACCTGGGTGGCAGGGGTGGGGAGGGACTGTTGGTTACATTTTACAGATAAAGAAATTGAGGATCAGGGATTGATTTAAGAATTTGGGGACTTCCCTGGTGGCACAATGGTTAAGACTTCATGCTCCCAATGCAGGGGGCCGGGGTTCAATTCCCGGTCAGGGAACTAGATCCCACGTGCATGCCACAAGCAAGAGTTCGCAGGCCACAAGTAAGGACCCGACAAGCTGCAACTAAGGAGCCTGCCTGCTGCAACTAAGACCCAGACCCGGTGCAACCAAATAAATAAATAAATATAAATAATAAAAAAAGAATTTGTCCAAGTCTTCTCAGCTTTGCAGCCCAGAATCCACTTCAGGGTTGCTGATTTATTGTTTAGAGTTTTTTCTTCTTCCTTGCAGTCACAAAATGGAAATCATCAAGGAAAAGAGCTCTATATAGCGCCTTCAATTCTGGCTGATGGTTCAGAAAGCTACCAGTAGGGCCACTTCAGGAATGAGTGTAACAATAGATGAAAAGGCTTTGCTATATTAGTAAGGGATTTCATAAACTGCAGTATTATTAGGTTTGGAGATTACAAAAGGCTAGGAGTCCAAATGAACCATTTTCCAACATAACTTGAACATTTATTTCACTGGAAATTATTCAAAACACAAATCCTTCCTGTTTCTGAAAGCCGAAGGATTGGTTGCATGTGTTCATTGCTGTTTTTTTTTTTTCCCTCTCTTCACTCCAATAAATGTTCTTCGCCTACCGTTTTTGTTGTTCTTGTTGTTTTTGTTTTGTTTTTTGCAATACACAGGCCTCTCACTGTTGAAGCCTCTCCCGTTGCGGAGCACAGGCTCCGGACGCGCAGGCTCAGCGGCCATGGCTCACGGGCCCAGCCGCTCCGCGGCACGTGGGATCTTCCTGGACTGGGGCACGAACCCGTATCCCCTGCATCGGCAGGTGGACTCTCAACCACTGCAACACCAGGGAAGCCCCAAGGTTGTTGGTTTTTTTTTTTTTTTGATTGACTGGGAAAACCACATTGCAGAATGATAGATATTGTTCATTTAACTCCAGCATTTACTTTTCCCCTCAACCAGAGTTCTGTTCACGATTGATCAGACTTCTCCCCCATTTAGCACCCATGTAAAACATTGCAAAAGATTGGGTCTGCAGCTCGGATAACATGTTTGCAGCAATCTGTTCAAGCCGCAGCAGGCGTGCAGAGTGGCATGGAAGCTCTTAATGAAACATTGGCGGACATTAGGGTTTTATGGACTGGAAAACAGTACAAATGAAAGTACTTTGCTTACTGTTTATCTTTTTAGAACATTTTTATTTTCTAAACCTAGCAATGTTCATCTTTTTCATCTGGCACTTTAGTTTGGTTCTTTACATATTGATTTTCCTGTTCAGTGGCATTCTCTGTTGAAGTCGGAGCACCCAGGTGTGCTGTCTGAATGAGTGCTGGCTGGGGGTGCAGTGTTGGGGGCATTCTCTGCCCTGAGACTTCTCAACTCAAGGGCTGGGAGAGAGTAAGTCTCACTGTATAAAAAGATTACTACACCTCTTCCCCTGTGTGGTTTCCCCTTGAACCAGGTGGGTTGACCTTTTTTATTAGTTTCCTCTCAAAATTTATGTGCAAATCTTACAGCAAAAGTAGCATTCTCTTCTTAAATTTTATGAGGAAGTATAATAGACAGGGTCCCAGCAGGAAACAAAATCCATCAGAAATGATTTGTCCAGGAGTCAGCAATTTTTTTCTGTGAAGGGCCGGAAAGTAAATAGTTTTGGTTTTCAGGTCACATACCATCTCTGTCACAACTGGCCACAGACGGCACCTAAATGATGGGCCATGGGTGGGGCTGTGGTCCAGTAAAACTGTCTTTACAAAAAGAGACTGGGAGGGGGTCTGGGAGGGGTAATTTGGCTTGTGGGCCAAAGTTTGTTGACTCCTGATTTAGATAAAAAGACTTTAAGGGACAATGTGCAGATACGTGCGCAGGGTCGGGGGAACAAACAAGGGGCATTGAGGTATGAGACTATAGCATCAGGAAGCTGTTACTCCCTCAAAGGCTGGAGGGGCAGAGGGAGGAGATGGTGTGAGTGGTGAGAATGGGGCTTTGGGAGGTACTAGAGCAGGGAGGGGGCAGAGAAGAAACACCCACCACTTTCTCCTCCCTCCCTCAGATCTGCTTATGCCTCCCCTTGTCTGATCCAATCAGTGGCCAGTGGCAAGGTGCCTGGTGAGGAAGCCCCCGGGGGACAGCATCTCAGAGCATAGAGCATGGAGCAGGTGGGACAAGGGCAGCGGGGAGAATAGATGGGCGGGCGGGGTTGGGGAGAGGCAAAAGGAGAACAAGCAGCACAGGTGCTGTCTCTTTGGGGACTAACTTCTTAGAACTCACTCCTTTAGGGAGAGAAAATAAGCTTGGCTAGCTGCATCCCTTGACCCTGACTTTATTCTAGACAACTAACCCTTCCCCACAGCTCTGCCCCAGGTTTGGGCATGTCCCTGGTCACAGCGATAGGTCCAGGGATAGGCTCATGATCTAGTTCAGGCTGAAACCCAGGTGCTGAACTTTGGTTTGTTTGAACAATTGGGAAGATAAGCTCTCTTTTTTTTTGGTGCATCCAAGGCTAGAACTTTGGCAGCCACCTGACTGTGTGGTGAGGCCTTCATGGGGGAGCATACAGGGGAAAGCAGACTGCCTGGTGGTGGGGAGAAAGGCAAGTCCTGATACTGTCACTGAGACCCTGGATCAAGCTGTACCTGACACAGGCCCTCATTTCTCAGTGAGGTGAGCCAGTACACTCTACTTTAACTGAGACCAGTTTTCTGTTTGGAGCAACTGAGAGAATCCTGGCTAAGAGAGAAAGTCCAGATTTATCACTGGAGCCAAGGTCTGCCTTCCTATAGCTGTGTGGACCTCACGTGAGGTCCAAAATCACCAAAGCATGCAAGAGACAATGATTCTCCCGTGTGCATGAGTATGTTCAGCGGCGTGCAGCTGCGTTCCAGCAATGCCGTTTATTGACAGCATGTACATTTCTCAGACACAAAAATCTTTCTTTTTCGAATATCTGCCTGGCATGGACCTCATATGTCATAAAGACAGCAACTTCCAAGGTTATTACATAGATATCGTGGTAACCATAGCAACCCAGCGATTCTGCGATGTCATGTCATGCAGATCACTGCAGCTCAGGACACGGATGGCAGTATAGCACCTGCCCAGCTCTGTGTTTTCTACAGGGGCTTTTCTTTTGCTCGAACAGAGGGCTTCTTACCACACAACACCTCCCATCAGTAGGTGATTCCCAAAGGTGCCACCCCTCCTCCACATCAGCTCCCTGCCCCCGTCCATCCTGTGTCTGGTGGTCACAGACACCACGACTCCGAGAGGATGTATGTACCACACGTGTACGTACCATGACTCCTAAGGCCGCTGTAACAAATTGCCGTAAACTTGGTGTCTCAGAGCAACAGAAATGTATTCTCTCACTGTTCTGGAGGCCAGAAGTCCAACAACATTTCAACGGGCTGAAATCACGGTGTAGGCGGGGCTGTGCTCTCTCCAGCGGCTGTTGGAGAAAACCCGTTTCCTCCCTCAACCAGCTTCCGGAACTACATCTTTTTGGCTCATGGCCCTTTCCTCCATCTTCAAAGCCATCTTCTCATCTCTCTCTTCTTCCATCATCGCTTCACCTCCCGTCTTCTATGTGAGGGCATAATCTCTGTTTCTCTCTTACAAGGATACTGGTGATGGCATTCAGGGCCCAAGGAGATAATCTAGGAAAACCGCCTCATCTCAAAACCTTTCATTTAATCATATCTGTAAAACTTTTACCATATGAGGCAACATTCACGAGTTCCAGGGA